TCAAGCATTTAACTGTTATTCCTTCAAGCTTTTAAACTGAACCGGTAGAGGCATAACGTCAGCCTTAACTGACAGAATATTAAAAAAAAGCTTGTAAAAATGAAGTCTTAACCTAATTCTACTGAATTCTTTTCTCTAATATCTGAACTAATTAGCGCGACTTTGTCGTCCACGGAAGTTGTGACGGAAGACTCCTAAATACGCCATCAAGATCTGTTTAGACAGTTGAATCAATACTGTTTTATTGCCAAAACCTGTAATTGTTTCGCCTATTATAAAAGCCACTTCCTCAGTGTACCTCAACCATATTATAGTAAAAGTTATCGATATCAACTCACTACCACATTATCACTGTGAGTAAAATATAATATACAGGGCGGAATTTTGTAATGCCACCTGGAGGGAAAGTACCTACCTACTCTTATTTTGTTGATAGAAAATTTTACTTAAAGAAAACATTCCTTTATTTTTTGAAAACAAAGAGAACTTCATTCAAAGATTTTTGATTTTTTTTCGAAAATTCACTACCATAGGTACCATACAATTCTTTGTACATAATAATTAAAATAATTTAAGATTTCATGGTTTTCCTTTCATTTAATTTATCAAGTTTGTTAGAGAGATTTCATCCATAAACTTAACCCTAACGATCGATGCAATAAAAGTACAGGATGTAATTTTTAACAAATTTTAGTTGATTCGATTCTCGGGTGTGGCATGCAAATTTTTTGGAAATCTTTGAATGCAATTCTATTTCTTTTCAAAAATAAAGAAATGTTTTCTTTGAGTAAATTTTTTTATCTACATTATTAAGAGTACTTTCCCTCCAGGTGGCATTACAAAATTCCACTCTGTATACTGCCCCCTGCCCCCGATAGTTGAAAAGGCGCATCTAACATTTTTTCGGGTTACCTACACCATATCGAATTACAAATGATCGAAAATCAAAGTATCGAACACGTTCATCGAACGATCAAAATATCGAACGATCAAAATATCGAATGTTCAAAATATCGAACGTCCAGAATATCGAATTTACAAATGATCGATCGATCAAAATATCGAATGATTAAAATATCGAAAGTCGATCTTGCGTTGCATAGTATAATAGAAAGATGGAGGCAAGGGTTCCTTGTTGACTAAGGCAGCGGTTCCCGAATGGTGGTCCGCGGAACCCTGGGGTTCCGTGGAAAGGCCGCAAGGGTTCCGTAAAAAATATTATCCCACGTTTCGTGACCGACGTTGTTCGCTCGCACCGACTTGTTTACACACAAGGGAGGGGCAGGGCGTGCGGGCGGAGTAGTACGGGGGTTCCGCTAGGATTAGGCTTCCTTGGCAAAAAAAATTGGGAAACCCTGGACTAAGGTACCCAAAAGTGGGAAATAAAAAAATGTGTTTAAGAATTTAATGTTTTATTTACATTAATCATATGACATTTACTTAATTAAAAACTCTACAGGATGTTAGGTAAATGGGTATATGAGCCGACACTAGCCCATGTTAACACGGGCATATAAATGGTATGGTGAAGTCAGAAAATTGATATCTTAATTTTAATTATTTTAATTTTCATACAAATCGGATTTTATAAAATTTATTTTGTATGAAAATTAAAAAAATTAAAATGATGATGAAATTTCTGACTTCACCATACCATTTATATGCCCATGTTAACATGGGCTAGTGTCGGCTCATATACCCATTTACCTAACATCCTGTATATAGATTTTTCGATATTTTAATCATTCGATATTTTGATCGTTTCGTTTCCGTAACTTAAAATACCCAACTGTCAAGTTTAATGACATGCGGTTAAGAATTAAGTTAAGTATCAAGAAAATGCGTTTTAAAACCACCAACCGTTGGATTTCGCCGTATGGATGTTTTTTTAATTTAGCTTGTAGGTACTAAGGCAAAGGCGTGCGTGAGTGCATCATATACAGCCAGGTCTGGTGGCCGAACGCTATTGTGTTATTCAATAGCTATTTCACTTTATAAACACATTTTTTTAATATCGACGTCATGATTAACTCCCTTACTATTAAAAAGTTACACACTAGTTAAAAGTGACATTTCCATATTAAACGTCACTTTAAACAAGTGTTCAGCGAGTTACTAACTTTTTTCTAGTAAGTAGTTAACTCTTTAATATACCTACAACCTATCGGCGCTAAGATATTCGATGATTCGACCATTCGATAATGTGACCATTAGATGATACCTACGGCATTCGATATTTCGTACGTTCGAGATTATGACCAATCGATGAAACGGCTTCGATGAAACGACCTTCGAAGAAACGACTTTCGATAAAACGTAGGGAACCCGAATACAATGGTGTCTTCATACAAACGCTTCGTCAAAAGTGAGGCAAAAATCTTATGTCATCATTTATTGTCAAAATGTTATTAAAAATATTTAGAATCGCAATTTTTCGAAGGTGACAGATTTTATCCACATTTTATCGTAGGTACCTAATGAGATTTTATTATTTGTTATTGAACAATTATTATAATACGACATTTAATTAAAACAATAAAGTATCACAATTCAATGGTCCACTAAAAGTTGCCTCACTTTTTGTGTGCTTACATCTATCTAGGCTTTGTTATTATGATTGTAGCATATAAAAATCGGCTATAAAAAGTTTTGTGCAATTTGTATCGTCGTTGGCCGATTGTTGGAATGGTCACATCGTGATATGTCCGAGAATATCGTGATACGCCGGCGCCGCCGTGTATCGGCTTTAATCTAATGTTTAATTTTCAGAAAGTTTCAAAATGAAGACTTCATTGATAATTATAATCATGGTGATTGCTTGCTCCTTGGCGGTGATGATAAGTGAATCAAACTCTGAAAAAAAAATCTACAGTTACATGTTGCCTGAGAATTGTAACTCATGTGAAGATTGTACTGAGCCTTGTGACGATGTTACTTTTTGTGAGATGCTTGCAAATTCGGAGGGCAAATTGGTTCCTCAATGTCTTGAAGATATTGAAGGCAAATATAGCGTATAGAACAGAATTCAAATATCCCGATCAAATAACACCAGGCATTGTGAATCTTGTTTTTAATTTAAAGGATTTTTCGTACTGGATGCGTTCTACGGAAATTCGGGCTCTATACATTTCGTATTGATGCGATCTGACCGTGCGGGCACGAGCAAAGAACGTAAAACAATCTGTGGTAAAAAACGCACCGCTGACACATTGCTTTTCCCGGACCGCTGACCTGTTCCCTGACCTACAATGTTGTATTTTGACCTGACCGCAGAGCGCATCCAGTGCGGCAAATCTATTATTATAACACAACAAAAACAAACCTAAATTATCTATTTGAGGTATGTTTTTAAGTTTCAACACTTTTGACTTCTTTTAGCATGTTTCTAGTTACACATAGAAATAAATGGATTAAATCCTTGAAATCTGTTGTTTTTTGTCCACCATACTGTTGTGAAAACCATATAAAATAAGATAAAAAAAAAAGATCAGGGTAATCTTTGGACCTGAATCTTTGTACCCTACAGATGTTACCCGCCGTGTCGGCGGGCTGTCGTGGATGATTCGTTGAAGTCTTAGATTAGAGCGCTTTCAAATTAGGGCGTTAGTAGCGCGACTGAAGCGCGGCAGCGGCGTTTTTGTAATGTGAAGGTGAAGGCAGCATCCGCTGTCACCTATTATGAAATTTTCGGCAGCGCGACAGTCGCGTGTTTGTCGCGCTGCTAAATCGCCTAAATGTGTCGCCACCGTCGAATGGAAAAAGCGACATACTGGGGGAAACTGTAGGACACTTGAGTATTTGATACCATTCTCCAATAATAAAATTCTAAAGCTCAACTTTTTAAAAACACTCTTCATTCTTCTCTTAAAAACTCAATTGATTTTAAATCAATTGTAAATTAAGATTTTTTGTTGCTTTGAATTGATAATAAGTTGGCAAAATAGTGACGACATCGGCTTGTATAGCCCTACAAAGTCTATGGGAGAATCTCGTTTTGACAGTTTTTAAAGTATGTCAATTGAGAATGTTACTAGGTATGCAAAATCACTTGAAACCTATGTTACAGTTAGGCTTTTACATTTACAAATACATTAGTTTTTATTTCATTCAAAAATACCCAGTAGTTATGATTTTATAGGCATTCAAAGTTCGCTTAAATATTGAGTGCCGCCGACGGTCACGTGACCCCGCGTGACGTACATTCACAGTATCCGCTCACTAGAAAACGAATATAAACATACTTAAATACATTTTTTTTTGTAAATACAAACTTATTATACATATTATCACCCAGACCCATCACAGAAATTAAAATTGAACCAAACCCAAACTCGATGCGATTGTGTCGTTTTATTGCGAATTACCTTCCAGCTCCATCATTAGACCCTGATTACTATATAGAATTAAAGTACTTGTCAATACAAAACGAACGAACCCAAACTCGATGGATTTAAGTCGTTTTATTATAGAGTTCCTATGGCCACCTTCCAGCTCCATCAATACCACTAAAATACATTTTTGTACTCTTTACTTATGTAAAGAAAATAATGGTTTTAACTTTAACACGCAGCTACATAATTTCGCGGAAAACCTGTCTTCTATTGTGAACTCATGTCCTAACGATGTTTTTGTTATAACGGGAGACTTTAACTTAAGTAATATTGACTGGCACAGTGACGGAGATAACCTCCAGCCTACTGGTATTCTAGGGGAAGCGCAGACATATTTTTTTGATACACTGGCCGAATGTAATTTAAACCAATTTAATTTGTGCCGCAATGCCAACCATAGATTACTAGATTTAGTCCTGAGTAACTCTAATTTATCTGTGTGCGCGTGTGACGACCCGTTGGTCCCTGAAGATACACACCATAAATCTCTCGTTATTGAATTAAGTTTTGGTGGTATTGAGTGTCTCAAAACAAAAACTAGGCGCAAATACCTCTATCGATTAGCGGATTATGGGAAAATTAACTCGTCTTTANAGTGGTGACCCTACAATGAACAACGCACCTGAAACATCGCAAACTCCGGCAACCGCCATCTCGCCAACAGTAATCCCGATCAACCATGAAAACGCTGAAGTATCTGGAGTATCCGTCGGACTACGAATTCCACCTATATGGAGAGACAAGCTACGAGGATGGTTCGCACATTTCGAAGCTGTAATGTCACCCCACAAGAAGAGTGATCAAGCCGTGTACGAGCTTGTGCTGGGACAGCTGGAACGTCAAGACATTGATGAGGTCTACGACATTTTGAAGCATCCACCTGAGAAAAACAAATACCAAACCATCAAGAAACGACTACTGGAAGTGTACGAAGACTGTGCACAGAAAAATGTCCAACGTGTGATCGCCGGAATGGAACTTGGTGACCTCAAGCCATCACAATTATTACGCCGAATGCAAAACCTTGCCGACGACCATCTACCTGAAATTACGCTGCGAGGAATGTGGCTCAACCAACTACCTTCAAACATAAGCTCAATTCTTGCAATTAGTGAAAAGTCAAGCCTGAGTGAAGTTGCCATGATGGCAGATAAGATGATGGACCAGCAGTCACAACGTGAAATATCAGCTGTATATCAACGACCACAGCCAACTCCATCAACATCTACCCCACAACAAGAAGTATACGCAGTGAATCAGCAGTACACACCTAGTTCGTCAAGATACCGCACTCTAGAAGAGAAGATTGACAAGTTAACGGAAGCTGTGACACTTTTAGTGACTGCAATCGCAACGGCCAACAACTATCGAGGCAGAACAACCCAGCGCTGGCAAAACGGTCGCTCCTACTCAAGATCGCAGAGCCGAGGCCGCTATTCACAATCACAACGCAGTGCAACGCCCAGCAACTCGCCGTATTGCTATTTCCACCGCAAGTTTGGTCATCAAGCTAAAAAATGTGCAGAACCCTGTACATTTCTGAAGACAACACATCAGGAANCACACCTGGTTCGTCAAGATACCGCACTCTAGAAGAGAAGATTGACAAGTTAACGGAAGCTGTGACACTTTTAGTGACTGCAAACGCAACGGCCAACAACTATCGAGGCAGAACAACCCAGCGCTGGCAAAACGGTCGCTCCTACTCAAGATCGCAGAGCCGAGGCCGCTATTCACAATCACAACGCAGTGCAACGCCCAGCAACTCGCCGTATTGCTATTTCCACCGCAAGTTTGGTCATCAAGCTAAAAAATGTGCAGAACCCTGTACATTTCTGAAGACAACACATCAGGAAAACTGAAACCTGCGTTGGCAGAGACGGGTACCGGCGCATGGGATGAAACAAACCGTCTATTTATTACTGATAAGAAGAGCAAGCTGCTATTTCTCATTGACACCGGTGCGAACATATCAGTTATACCCAAACGAAGTGGCAAGAAAATGAAACAGACAACGTTTAATTTGTTCGCCGCTAACAATACAATAATACCCACATATGGAGAGCAAACACTGGAATTGGACCTCAACCTACGTCGTCCTTTCAAATGGAAATTTATCATCGCAAACGTCAGCAAGCCAATCCTGGGCGCAGATTTCTTGAAGCACCACAACTTGCTCGTCGATATCGCCGGCCGCAGCCTAATTGATAAATTAACAAACTTATCAACCAAGGCATTCACTTGCAACTACCCGACACCAACGATACGAAGCATAGATACAAGTCAGAAGTACCACAATATATTGGCTGAATATCCAGACATCACACGCATATCTTCGATGAAAGAAGCACCTAAACATCGCATCGAGCATTACATTGAAACCAGTGGACCACCGCTTTACTGCAAAGCTCGACCGATACCGCCCCACCGTTACACCGCTGCGAAGAAAGAATTCCAAACAATGATGGACCAGGGATTATGCCGTCCGAGCAAAAGCCCTTGGGCGAGCCCGTTGCACATCGTCCCAAAGAAGAATGGCGACATAAGAGTGTGTGGTGACTATAGAAGGCTCAATGCAGTTACCAAGCCAGACCGCTACCCTGTGCCTCGTCTGAAAGATTTTACATACCTACTACAAGACAAGAAGATCTTCTCTACCATAGATCTAAACAGAGCATACCAGCAATTGCCTGTCTTCAGCGAGCACATTGAGAAAACGGCTATCATCACACCTTTTGGCCTGTATGAGTTCCCTAGAATGTGTCCGGGACTGAAAAATGCTGGACAGACATTTCAACGATTTATCCATCAAGTCCTACAAGGCATAGACTACGCATACCCGTTCATTGATGACGTCATAATCGCTTCAGAAAATAGCTCTCAACATGAAGAACACCTGCGCAACGTCTTAAGCAAACTCAACGAGTATGGTATCACTATAAATCCATCAAAGTGTGTATTGGGTGAAGAAGAAGTGAAGTTCCTTGGCTACACAGTGTCTCAACACGGAATCAAACCACCCGAAGAAAAGGTCCAGGCTATAACTTCAATACCTAAACCAACAACTATTGAAGAACTACGAAGATTTCTCGGTACTATAAATTTCTACCGTGACGCCATACCTAAAGCAGCCATCATTCAATCTCCACTGAACGCATACTTACACAACAGCAAACGCAAAGACAAAACGAAGATTGAGTGGACTGAAGAAGCTACGATTGCATTTGAAGCGTGTAAAGAAAGCCTAAGAAACGCAGCTTTACTCGCCCACCCTGCACCGAACGCGCACATCTCATTAATGTGTGACGCCTCCAATAACTGTGCTGGAGCTGTGCTGCAGCAGTACGTGGACAAGAAATGGCAACCGCTGGGATATTTCTCAAAGAAGTTCTCTGAAGCACAAAAGAAGTATTCTACCTACGACCGCGAGCTTTTGTCTATCTACATGGCAGTTAAACATTTTAGAAAAATGTTTGAAGGTAAACCACTTACCATATTTACGGATCACAAGCCTATCATCTTCGTCCTGCAAAAGAAGACATCAGACAGTGAAACTCCAAGACGCAGCAGACAAATATCCTTCATAAGTGAGTTTACCAACGACATACGCTACATAAGTGGAAAAGAAAATGTTGTCGCCGACACATTGTCTCGAATTGAAACCATAACCTGCCCTACAACACTGGATTACGAACAACTAGCCGCCGCACAACAACAAGACCACACCCTGCGAGAACTGAAACAACAGAAAAACCTAATTTTCAAGATGATAGAACCACCAAATTGTAACTACAAGATCAACTGTGAAACTTCTACTGGAAACATCAGACCATACTTACCAGATGAATTTCGACGCATAGCATTCAACGCCGTGCATAATATAAGTCATCCTGGAACGAGAACTACAAAGAAAATCATGAAAGAAAAATACTTCTGGCCGTCTATGAACGCAGACATAGGCAAATGGACTAAGTTGTGCATGCCGTGCCAAAAGTCCAAAGTTCAACGACACACAAGCAGCAGTTATGGTGAATTTCAACCCGCCGACCGATTTCAACACCTACACGTTGACATAGTTGGCCCACTTCCGCCTTCAACTGAAAACCACAAGTATCTTCTAACGATGATTGACCGCAACACCCGCTGGCCTGAAGCTATACCACTACACAACATAACTGCAGAAACCGTGGCGAAGAATATCTATGAAACCTGGATATCTCGCTTTGGTTGTCCTACCACCGTGACCACCGATCAAGGGCGACAGTTTGAAAGCCAGTTATTTACATCGCTAACAAAACAACTTGGAATCGAAAAAACAAGAACAACACCGTACCACCCGCAATGTAATGGAATAGTAGAAAGATGGCACCGATCACTCAAGACAGCACTGACAGCTAAACTTATCGACCAACGAAATCACTGGCTACAGGCATTACCAACAGTACTACTTGGTCTACGAGCTGCTACACGAAACGACACAGGCGTGAGCGCAGCACAACTCGCTTACGGCTGTAGTATCAGACTCCCTGGCGATTTCTTCAATACGTCACCGATGACGTCACCGAATAACGACTACACTTATGTTGATCAACTACGGCAAACAATAAGAAACTATCAAGCCACGGAAAGAAAAAGAAATAACACCAATATATTCGTTCACGAAGACTTGAAAACCGTCAATAACGTGTATTTACGCATCGATTCATCACGAAAGTCACTGCAACCACCATACGAAGGCCCTTATCCGGTACTGAAACGAGATGACAAAATATTTCGACTCAAACTACCCGATCGAGAAGTCAACGTATCAATCGACCGAGTGAAACCCGCATACACACTGAATGAAGACGCAAATCACATCACTGGCACTGGACGCAACACTACCGGCACTACAATAACAACACGTTCTGGACGCACTGTGAAGCCCGTGGTACGCTTCGCTTGAGGGGGAGCTATGTGGCAGCCGCCACATACAAACCTTGAGCATACGTGCGAGCATCACTGCGGCGCGCTCCTGACTGAGAAACTTGACCTAGTTTCATGATACGTTTTATAATCATAGATGCGGGTGAGTTTGAAACTTGTAAATATTTGTGTACCTTCTTTTATGTATAATTTCCGTGTCGTGTGAAACAGAAACATTGTAACTTCTTGCTGTCCTTGTCTAACTTTCTTAATATTAATATTTATTCTACCGCCTTTTTACATGTATTTCTATGTTGTGTGAAACAAGTATATTGTAATGTTAGGCTATCTTCTTCTAAATTATTTATTGTGTACCCTACTTTTTACTATTTTTTGTGTAACGTGAAACAAGTATAGTGATCGTCTTTCTATCTCGTTCTAACTGTTTATATTGTGTTTTGTAGGTAATTGTTTTATTGTCGCACCTTTAATTGATTGTACTTTTTTATGTGAAATAGATGTATCGTTTGTCCCTGTCATATTTTGTAAATTTTTGTGTATATAAGACCGCCGTTTCGGAAAATAAAGGTTCATTACGATTTTGGAGTCCGACTATTATTGAGCACCCATTCCCCGCACAATCATAACTATATATTTGACACTAATTGAAATTGAATTATATGTTTAGACGACCAATACTGCTGGAATTTATTTACTTTTTATTTTTTTTATTTTTTGTTTGTGGGTGCGCGTGTAACGCTAGGAACAATATGGGATGAACTAAATTGTCGAATCGCGCGCAATCAATCATTCGATTGCACAAACCGGTTTTGCGGGCGTCGAGACCACGAGACACTCAGCAACGCGTAACAATGTCACTCTTTACGAATATTACACATTAACACAGTTACTACACACACACTTATACAAACAGTTTTATCTTTTTATTAGTATTCTTTTCATTAGTATTCTTAATAAACGTAGTCATATCATCCTTACCGATTTCCCGCCTTTTGTATTTATCTGTGCACTAATATTACTATTTATGTATGTTTATCTAGACAATTTTATGCAGCTTTTTTATTTTTTTATTTTACCAATGGTCCGTGACCCTCACTCGGCATGGGGCACACTGAAAACCAGCGCCGTGGCCTTCGTCACCGTGGGCCACGGCATATGCTGAGTGGGGTCCCGTTGCAGTGGGCATCTTGTTGGTGAATGGGTGGCACTGCTCAGTTTACTCTTGTTTTTATTTTTTCTTCTTTTATTATTATGTGCCACTGTCATGTCTATGTAATTGCCTGTATTTGTGTGATGTCCACTGTAATAAATGTATCTTTCTTTCTTTCTTTCTTTCTTTCTTTCTAATAGCGCTATAAAACCCAAGTTATAAGACTATAACTCTTACAGATCAAAAGCTTGCAACACCAGAAACAGAAAGGCGTCACCTCAACTCGTTGCAGGCGCTCTCAGCGCGAGGGCTCCGCAAATGGACCCTTGACTCCGCTCTTGCTGTCGCTAAAAGCCGCAAAACTTAGAGGGAGAGTGACACACTGGTTAAGGACGTTGCATTTGAACCAAGTCATTTAGCAAAATAATAGTTCCTGGTGGCTCTGATGCGTGACGCATGATGCGCTCTGTCATTTGTTTCTTCTACATCGATTTATGGATGGACGCGATAAAAACGT